AATCAAGCCTATTTTTTTGACCGATTACCGCGGCAGTAAGATTTGACAGACGGTTATTAACAATTGGTCGGCTAGCCTCCAAAAACTGACTGCATGAAATAATCGGCACTCAACTCGGTCTTATAATAGCCCCGTAAGTGAAAGATATGTGTGATAATATACTATATAATATATATATCATATATATTATATACTATATATATATATCTATCGATATATATATATATAATAGTTCACTATCTTCAGTCTTACGGGCCATATATAAGACCGAGTTGGAGTGGCCATTATTTCATGCCGTCAGGTTTTTATATCGGCCACTTTAGGCCTAATAAGAACATTTTCCATACAACAAACTAAGGGGTACTTAAGTTATATTATAAATATAAAAAAATATTTGATTTTACCATAGTGAAAACATATTGGACCAATTAACAAAAACCCCATTAAAATATATCATTTGTTGGGACATTATCATTTACTACTGAAAACCGGCCTACGGGCCACTCATGTTAGAGGTAGCATATGACCCATACATCGTTTTAAAACATTGCCAGAGTTGGCGAGGAGCCTTATGTATGCGCCACATTAAATATAACAGCCCCACAAGTACATGGTCCTCAAATCGACCGTGCCACGCATCCGTAATGGAGGATGTGTTTGGTATAATTATGATATTAATAATTTTATATATATATTCAAATATATAATACATCATCAATAATTAAATAAGATATACTATAATATTTATGTTATATTTACTGTATTAATATACATTAATATATATATAATATAGTAGTATATTATTTATATATTATTATTAGTATAATTATAAATATATCGGTTAATTAAATATATAATAAAATTATAATATATATATATTTATATAACAGAATATATATTTACATGTATATTATATATTTTGATATATAATATAACATTATATATATACTATTTATGTGTACTATTATCTATTAAATTAACATTCTTCCACCATCTTACTCAGGGATCAATTACTGAGTTCCGGAATTGGACAGACAACTTAAAGTATAGGAGGGTTTAGTTATAATTATTAGTGTAGGGCATCAACTCCAATATTAATGAGTCTAGCTGAAACTCTAAGGCTAATTGCTAATATTAATATATATTTACATATTTATACATGTATATTATATATTTTTTTTGATATATATGATAATATATATATATCAAATATATATATATATACAATTATACATGTATATATTTATATATAATATACATATATATATACATTGTTATATATATAATATATATATATATATTATACAGTCGAACTTGGTTCGCTGCGACTCGGAGGGCGCTGTGCAAATTCTGCTTCGAGATCGGGTAGTTCTTCGAGCCAACCGAGGTCGAACTATTATTACGTTGATCATAGCCTATGGTTAATAGCAACATTTGGCTCCGACCCCACTGATAAATACGTCGAAATAATGTTACATTCAGAATTATTATCCCGTGTTTCAATTAATGTATACGGTAATGTTGTGTTATCTATATTATGCATCTTGTAACTTGGTTCGAAGTTCGATTGGCACCTCAGACCACTTGTTGAACAATGTTCAAAATATATTTATATGTTTATAATGGGATTTTTATTAAATTTTAAAAAATGAATTAATGAAATATTTAAGTAAAAAGTTTACAGCACCATTTATTTGTAGTCATTTACTTAGAATAAACACACGTAAAGTATCATTCTATAGAATACATAACACTATTTACAATTCACGTTTACATGAAACTACGTTGTAATTAAAGCCGTCCGGATAAACAGTTATTCATTATTGAACTTTTGCACTATTTCACTATTTCAACAAGTTCTTTTCTTTTTATTTGTTACCCATAACAACGGCAAATAAACATATTATTGGTAACAACAAATCGGGTTACAACCCTCTTATTTGTAATCAATTAACCTTAATTGCCTTTGGGTCATATCACGAGGTGTTACACTGTGTACGGACTGTCATTTATTAGAACATGTCCGGACTTGTCTTTTTGTGTTCGACGAAAAGGTGTGATTTTCAACTAACTATATCTGCCGAAGGGACCAGAGATCAGGTGTCGAGAGTTCGAGCGAATCGGTGGTTCGAGCGATCCGGAGGTAGAACAATATATATTAATATAGGAATTTTTGCGCGGGACTGGGCGATGATGTCGAGCGAAGGGAGGTATTCGCGCGATCGAGTTCGAGGCCGAACGATAGTTTAACTGTGATATTATAATTCTTTTTTTTTGAACTATATATTATGCCATATATATATAAGATATATTTATTTAGATATATATAATATTATATATACTGCCTATATACTATGCATGTATATAATAATATTCACCTCTTCTCATCCCTGGCTCTGCTATGCAGCAGGCACAGAGAGGATAAAGATCGCTTGACTGCGGTGTGTTACACACACATTATATATATATACTATATATAAATTAGCGTCCATTTGTTCTCTATTTTTTTTAGATAATCTGCGTCATTTTTTCTATTTTTAGAAAATTGCGCTCAAATTTTTTTCTATTTTTAGACAATTGCGTCATTGTTGCTATTTTTAGAAATTCGTCATATTTTTTCTGATGTTTAGAAATTGCGTCTCATTTTTTTCTATTTTTTAGAAATTGCGTCATTGTTCTATTTTTATAATTGCTCGTCATATTTTTATTCTATTTTTAAGAAATTGCATCATTGTTGCTATTTTTAGAAATTGCGCGTCCAATTTTTTCTATTCTATTTGGAAATTGGCCTATCCTATTATGCATTGTTGCTAATTTGTTTTGTTTAGAGAAATGCCGTCCATTTTTTTTCTATTTTTTACTAGAAATTGGCGTCCAATTTTTCTAAATTTTCAAGAAATTGAGCATATCCATTGTTGCTCATTTTAGCAAATTGGTACAATTTTTTATTTAGAAGTTATGTCTTTTTTAATATTTATTAGAAATTGCGTTCATTTTTTTTCTATTTACGAAATTGGTCCATGTCTGCCTATTTATAAGCAAATGCGTACTGGGCTGCTATTTTTAAGAAAATATGCTTAATGTTTCTATTCATCATTATCCAAAATATATAAACAAAACTATATGTGACAAGACACACCACAGAACCAACTAAATTTATAAAAGGAAACGTCCAAATATATGTTACATTTCTCCATGTTTGCGTTCTAAGAAAAAGCTAATAAAGTCGAGCGTGCCCCGGCCGGAGGTGGCTCTTGTTTTAATTTGACATGCAAAAAATGCGTGTGATCATTACTATATTATAATATTAAGTTCGCTTTTGTTACTATTTGTATATTTGTTAACAAATTATACTAATAAAAAAAGAAAAATATTACATACATCGTATCTAATATGTAGCGATTGCAACCTAACTTTTTGTGAGACTTTTTATGATTGGCTAGCTTGAATGGTGTTATATAAACATGAACAAACATGTCATCAGACTATTTTATATTTATTAACATTTTCATGGAATTGTAATATTGTTATCATAATATTAAATTTCATGGCATTTGATGAGGAAAATGGATTTCAATAAAAGACACAATGTAGACCAATTTACTGCTTAAACATTAACCACAAAATTCACATCTCCACTGCAACAGACATATGAACAATCTTGCCAAACCTCAGAAATAAAATAAAACAATAAAAACACGTTTTTTTTTTTTCCCATGTTATTTCTTTGTTAGCTCGACATATTTCTTTGGGAAAAAAAAAGTAGAGGTACTTGTTCTAGGTCGCGGCGGGTTTGCCGTGCGTTCGGAATCATAACTTTTATGATGCCCGAAAGGGCATATCTATGTTATACCCTGGCGTCCGTCTGTCTGTCCGCCGTACGTCTGTCCGTCCGTGAAGTCTGTCTTACGTCCAAAAATCTTTGTGAAAGCAACTCCTCTTAAACCGAATGGCAACGCTGATTTTTGCTTTCTTAACTTCAGGGATGAAAACAACCTTAATGTGTGAGATGGTAGTAAGGAAGGAATTTTTGCTGCCACCAAATATTAACAGAATTCTAATGGCCTCTTGTTGACTTTTTCACTATATACTATGTAGAAATTGTGTGAACGCAACTTCTCTTGAACCGGATGGCAGATTTTGCTTAAACTTCCAGGAATGATCACTAAATGTGTAAGGTGGTAGTGAAAGCGAAGGAATTTTTGCTGCGACCAAATTTAAACAGAATGTATGGCCCTTTGTTGATTTTTTCACCTATATACCATATTAAGAAGTTTGTGAACGCAAGCTCTCTTATGAACCCGGATGGCAGATTTTATAAAAGTCACATAAAATCTTACATACGATTGCCATGCTCTTGTTTGACGAGCAATCGCTGCACATTTGGGGCATCCGCTGTCCTTTAACACGTTGCCTAGTTTTTTTTTTGTTCTTTTTATGGCTTTATATGAATGAATTTGTTCCGCTGTCTTATCATTAATATGACAGACTGCGAATCACGAATGGGACAACCAAATATGACTTTACATAATAGAAAATCAAAAGAACATTCTTGCATCCCAATTTATTTCTAGCTGTAATGCAAAGGGATTAATTGATATTAAAGCAGGCTACATGACAAAAAAAAATAGATTAAACAATAGCTCCGCGCTGTGTGGGCCGAGCAATCAACATGAAACTATGAGGTAGATAAATTCCTCAACTGAGTAAAGTGCAAGAATCTTCAAGGAGAAAGAACATAATTGCCCTTAAAGAAGTCATGAAAATTTCAAATCCAAACTTAAATTTATCTTATTGATGTGAAGACAAATAATGTTAGAACATTTGGAAAAGATTCTATAAACTAGTCTGTCTCCCCTATGTGCAAAATTATTCACTAAAAAACTGTTTTCTGACAAGGGTGTAGGTGTAGTTTCTGACTTTTGACAATTTCTAGTTTTATCAGGTAATAAGAAGCAGTAATTTCAAATGGTTAGGAATTTGTGCATCTTTTGTTTCAGTCCTGCAGTAGGGTTGTTCATTGCCAATGATATACCGGATAGTCATTTCTGGAAAGTTTCAAGAGATATGACTTATTACAGAGAAAATCAGCCAAAAAGAAAGTATGGAAAAATGTAAAAAGGTTTTTGTTGGCCATACCTGTTCCGCTACAAATGGTTAAATGCTCAAATACATGTTGTTATTTAAGTTTCGTGGGCATACACAGTGCTAAAGATGACGCTTTTGTGAATTCCACATAATTGTCCGAATTCCATCTCACGTTAGTGCGTATGTCCGTCCGTGCATCAATGCCCATGCTTAGAGTACTTTGTGTGTAGCTTCATCTCATGAAACCTCTCTCAAATATTTTTAGTCCCCTACCGGTTACCTACCGGTTATACTGGAGGGACTTTAGGATAACCCTCCGTCTGTCGTCCATCTGTCCGTCCGTCCACAAAACTAGATCCCCCGATAACGCAACAAAAAGTGAAAATACTTTTTAAGAAAATTTATATAGGGATAGATGGCAGTATGGAGATTATGCACGTCTTTTTCTTTTTTTCCTATGTGAAAATTCTGGTTGCTATGACAACAAATAGACTGAAAATATGGCAAATTTACACATAAACTTGTTCCAGTGATAAGGCAAACAAGTACTGGAAATATTTTTATGAAACTGAAATATGGGTAGATGGCAGTCTGGAAATTATGCACATCTTTTTTAGCTCACCTTGCACAAAGTGCAGGTGAGCTTTTAGGATGGCCACACCAAATGTGTCCGGCGTCCGTGCCACATTTTTATTCAAACAACATCTCTACAATACACTTGGCCAATATTAATCGAAACTTGGCAGGAATACTCTTTGTATGAAGCTCTATCAAGATTGTTCAAGAATGCCATTCCATGCTAAACTCTGGTTGCTATGGCAAGTAAAAGAAAAAACTTAAAAGTTCTTAAACTTCAAAATGGAAAGGGCTAGAGCTTAGATTATTTCTCACAAGGCATTAGCTTGTTTAGTTCCTACAAAGTATATTCAAATTATGGTCTAAAGTTGAAAAAATTGCTGGTCTCTGTTTTGGGAGTTAAAGGTTTTTTTATTGCAAGGTTACATAGACTTTCTTTTCAGGGATAAATTGAGATAGTTATCTCTGTATTTTTCGTCTCACAGACATTATTATGAAGATTTTTCTGTTAAAGCATAGGGAAGGATGAAAAGTTTGTGAATGTGAATGTTAATTGAAATCAGAGTCAATCAGAATAGCACAAATTTGAGAGCTACGGTGAAGTTGATTTCACCCATTTTCAATAATGGATTCTTCTCATTAATTTCGTAACACCATCAGAAAGGAAGACTGTGTCATTTCCGAAATACAATGTAAATATTTCGGTTCTTGACAATGACTTGCACATTTTATTGTGAAGATATTGCACAAAGAAACGAAAGTGAACAAAAAATGTTGTTTTTTTCCACAAAAATTAGTTGATTAAGATAAAAGTTTATTTCACAGTACGGATATTACTTTTTGTATCCTTCCAGTTTGCGGAAAAATCATATACTACACCACCTCCTACTGATGAACGAATATATGTCAAAATATTTAATTCTGAGACAAACATACGATTCAAATCATTAAATAATGCATACCAATCAGTTTATAAAAAAAAAACTTTGCCTCAGAAAACAGTCTGTATCAATCTGACCTCGAGTTGAATTGATAAATTTACTAAACCGGAAGTTCATGACGAAATGTCCGCCAATCAAGTAAATTGAAGAAATTTTGTAACAAATGAAATTGTAATTTCATAACAAAAGAAGTGAAGATGAATACCAATTATCGGTGTGCTTCGTTGAAACAGGTATTTTGTTAACTATTTGTGAAGTATTAAGGCATACATGCAGTATTTATGTTAAATATTCACCTCCCGACGTCCGTGTTATGATTTATTAAAATTATACATGTACACATGTGTTATTGACCTCAATAAATGTAAGTGAAAATGGAACAATAATTACCGGTAATTATTATCCATGGTGCTAGCAATACTTAATTATCTTTATCATATTGTTAACTAAGCTAGAAAATTGCGAATTTTAAAATAACTTAACCTCATAATATAATCAATTTAAACTTGAAAATTTTCTCAAAATGACTGCAAACAGTAATTTTTTAATTCATTTTTGAAACATGAAGAATGGTTCATGTAGAGAAATAAGAGAAGAAAAAAACTGAATTGACTCATGAAAAGTTGGTCAAACATCTGCCCACGTGAAATTCTGACCTTCCTGAGATTACCTGCTGTTTGTTGCTGTTTTTTTTTTTAGAAAGGGTGTTCTAAATATGATAAACCACATGATGCTTGGGTCAACCTGATACCCCTGAGTAAACACTATCAAAAAAATATTTTAATATTTAAACACTGATGGGATATGATATCTGTTACAAAACTATAATACTGGTTTTTTCGATAAAAAATTGACATACAGTCGAGACTGCCTTAGCGACCCCCTGATTTCAACGACTCCCTGGTCTTATCCGACCTTGTTCAGTCCTCCCAACGTATTTCTATATAAATGGTACTGAATTATACGACTCCCTGTCATATGTGACAAAGCGACCCTAAATTATCTGGTCCCAATGCATTGCTTTGTCTGATTTAAACGACTTCACACCTTTTAATTGTCCGTTAATCCAGGTAAATAATACCTGTTTTATCACCCAGAGAGACAAAATAATTAAGTCCAATTAAAATCCAGTAGTCAGATACTCTTCAAACAAACTCTACACACCTCTGATTACATTATATATGCCAGGTGTCAAGTGACGTAGCCGTCTGGAGTGTCCGTAGCGTCTGATGCAATCGATGTGTTTAAACAAATTGAGGTCACAGGTGGTTATGAACATAATGAAGCTGAGTAAACTGGATTAAGACTTGTGTTTAAAAAATTATGGAGTGCCAACGGAAGATTTTTTTTAGGCAGAATATTTTTATATTTTATTTTACCTTTTCTATGGTAATAGGGAAAAATGTTGATACCAGATTAATAATGGATATGTTTTTTAAAAGTATGATATTTATTTAAGGGATTGAATGCATCAAATTCAAGTTTATTTTGTACCATAATGATTCAATATTAAACTAATACAAAAAATAAATAAATTTATATGATATAAATACTTATTATATTTGCTTTACAGGGATTCTTATTTTATTTACATTCAAAATATTTAAAGTACCCTAATATAAGTATGTGCTATTTGCAATTGTGTTAGATATTTTCCTTCACACAGTTATACAGTATATATGTTTAAGTCACAATGATATATAGACAGATAGATGGTATTGAAATTTTAATTTTCTATGAGACTGTATTAAGAGACTCCCTGTTCATATGTGACCTTTTCTCAAGATCCTTGGAAAGTCACATATGACAGTCTCGACTGTATAATGAAAAAAAAAATACAGTTTTTACCCAATCATGTAATTGAGACTTTTGATTCCGGGCAGGCAGTTGGGTCATTTCGTAAACAGTTTTTCTCAGCAACTAATCAGAGCCTCATGATATTTATTATGCAGCATTAACGAACATTGTCCCATACCATCGGGCTTCGATTTAGAGTCTGTCGCTCATCCACTTCATATTACTGACTTAGTTAAATTCATAAAATGGTCATACTGGTTCGAATTTTTCGTAACAATTTTCTCATTAGTTAAATTCATAATAATGTGTCAATGGTACAAATTTTTCGTAACAATTTTCTCAGCTAACTATTATTTACAGCCTCTTTGATGTTTGGTATAACAGCATTACTGATATGATTCAGTATGTGGCTCATCCACTTTCAGTTGTCATGAAATTTTCGGCATTAATTGTAAATGGAAGGAAATTCAGTAACAGTTATTCGTAGCAACTACTAACATATCACAGCCTCTTGGATATCTGGTATTGTGGACTGCAAAGTTTCAGGTCTATCGCTTATCACTTCCTATTTACCGACTTAGTTAAATGATCGATAATTAATGGTCAATGGTAGGAAATTTTTGTAACATCACAGCCTCATGAGTTCATGTTGTTTGGTATACAAATGCAACCCGGCCCCATTTTTGTCTTTGACAGCCATTTTTAATTGAAGTATTATTCCAAATTTGTACTTTGTCTTGTTAATTATGATGTCATTGTTAAAATTTTTCATGATGTAAACACGCTACAGGGAGTGTTATTTTTTAGCAATCTGTACTTTAAAGAAGAGAAAAAAAGAGGTATTTCTATACACTTGTTGCAATTCTGTTGCTGTCGGCCAAAAAAACATTACATTTGACCACTAACCTTTAAATGAACATTAAAGAATTTTATAAACCTGTTGCTTGTTTTTTAAAAGAAAAAATACTTTAATAAGATCTATTCCTTAAGGTGAGCGATATAGGGCCATCATTGCCCTCTGGTGTCTTTTCTTCCTATGTTGGAAAATTCTGCGTTGCTATTGACAAACAAATAGACTGAAAATATGGCAAATTTAACACATAAACTGGATCTATTGAGGCGCGTCCTCTAAAAAAATGTTTGTTAAACAGTAACCCGACCCAAGAATTTTCAAGTGGGTAGTAGTGTTTGATTTTTTTTTTTTACATTGAAAACTGTACTCCCAAATATAAAACATGGAATTTCAAAATGCAGGACAAATATGCTTTGATAATCTGGTAACAATTTAAAAATTGGATAACAGGAATTCTTATTTAATAAAGAACTACATTTTATTATTTACCCCCGCACAACAAATGTAAGGGGGATATAACTGGAATCAGCTTGTCCGTCCGCCGTCCGGGCCGTCGGGTGTCTGTCGGTTTTTAAGGCTCACCTGTCACAAAGTGACAGGGTGAGCTTTTGTGATCGCTTTTCGTTCGTGTCCGTCCGTCGTCCGTCCGTCCGTAACTTTTACTTAAATGACATCATCTCATAAACCACTAAGCCAATTTCATCCAAACTTTCACAGGAATGTTCCTTTGGTAGTCACCTTTAAAAATTGTTCAAAGAA